GTATATATATATATATCACGCGGGATCCTCTGTCGTTTGTTTCCAATGCCCTATGTCCCGTGCAATAATAGTGAGACATGTGGCATTTATTGTACTTTCTTTTTATTTTTTTTATTTGACAAAATCAAATATGTATTTACAAAATAATCCTTATATTTCAACTAAACTCAAACCTTAATTTCAATTTCTAATCTCTCACTTCGATATTTCAGAACTAACTCTGCTCCCCCTTCATCTTCTCCGACATCGTTCGTTTCGCTACCGGGAACTCTTCTCGCCACTGATATTTTTTTCGTCCAACTTTAGCGCAGCTCGTCCATCCGTCGTTGTTCCCATTCTCCCCTTCGATTCGTCAGTTTTATTGTGTTGATATTACTACGACGCAATGAGAGTATCAACAGTGTCATCAAGAAGTATGTCAGCCATAAGAATAACTTGCGTCAATTTTTTTAAAGGTTTGAAAATTTGGTTGAATCTCGCCGTTATGAACAATTGAAAGTTGATTTTAAAGCAAGTACTAGCACTTCAGTTCTATCTATGTCAGTTCAGATATTGAAGCATGCTACAAGCTTGTACACCCCGGAAGTGTTCGAGATTTTCCAACATGAACTGGGAAAGACTTATGATTGTATTGGAGTTGTTAGTAATACCCATGAGACTATTACAGAATATAAGTCAGTTATCTTGGAAGATCAAAGAATCATGTTGTTACATACAACTCGTCTGATGATACTGTTTGTTGTAGTTGTAAGAAATTTGAGTTTTCCGGGATACTATGTTGTCATGGACTTAAAATTTTATGAAAAATAATATTTTGAGGGTTCCTGATCAATACATAATGAAGAGATGAACAAAGGGTGCAAGAGTAGGGGGTTCGCATAATAGGATAATTTTCTCTGTAACACAACACAGATGACCCGAAGAAAGATTTAAGTATCCGATATAAGAATTTGAGTATGTTCTCCAATAAATTAGTTACAAGAGTATCAGAGAGTAAAGAAACATATGAGTTTGTGAAAGATTTATTTATAAAGGCAACTAAAAGGGTCAATGAACAGTTACTGAACAAAAAAGTTGATTGTGAGGAATTTCGTTGCAAAGATGTCGAATTGAATCTACACACTCAACCTCCTTTGAGTAGAGAAAGCGATGTCCATGTGAAAGGGATAAAAAATAAAGTAAGAATTCGTTCGGATAAAAAACCTAAAAGCGGATTGAAAAAGAAATCAAGAAAAAAAAAAACAATCTTACAGTCCATACAAGTGAGCTATTAGCTAAAACACAAATACTTACCATTTACTGATTATTAAATAGATGTTATTTGTTCAAAGTTTATCTTATAATTTTATTTATTATGCAGTCGCCGGTGAATGAGGCTTTTTTTCAAACACATGGCTTTGTGTTACAACATGATCAAATCCTCCGGCAACAAGTATATATTTTTTTTTTCATATTGAATTTTTTTATCATATCATTGACATTAATACTATATATATATATTTTTTTTTCTTGTTCAAATTTTATTTGAAGTTATTATTCATTTTGTAGTCAATGATGACTGAGGCGTACCTTCAACCACATGAATTTGTGTTACAAGAAGATCAAATCTCTTAGCAACAAGTCTTTTTTCTTCTATTTTTCTATTTAGATTACATTGCATTGACAAGTGCTAACTAATTATTGTTTTATATTTTGCAGACATGCATGAATGAGGTTTATATTCAACCACGTGGCATCGTGTTACAGTCAGATCAAATCCCACGGCAACAGATTTTTTTTTTAATTCTAAATTTATTATTACTATTATTATTATTTACCTATTATTGATTCAATGGCATGTTGTTGTAATCTTGTATAATTTTATTTTTTATTTTTAAATATAGAGTCAATAACTTAATTCCGCGCCAAACATACAATTTCAATACCATGACGGTTAGACTTCTTTCATGAATTTCACATATTTACTTCAGGTATTTCTCAAAAAACAAGCCTAGCAACGTTATTGTTGGTAGATTAAATAATTATATTTTTATTGATTTTTTTATAAATATTGTATGAATACAGGTTCAATCTCAAAGAAGTGACCAATATCCGAACACGAGGGATGAATAATAGATTGTTTTTTAAGAATGTGGGGTACAAATCACAAGAAGTTGACTAGTAGTTTAAAATTAGATGGATTGATGAATGTTGGATCAACATTGTGCTTGAAGTAGTGTTTACTTACTCTTGCCAAGATTATAACTTTTTTATGATATGTTTATAAAATTTACTATGCTGATGTTGATTATGTTTGGAACTGTTTCTTTAACATATTTTGGATGGTCAGGATTATGTTTGAGACTGTTTTTTAACATATTCTAAAGTGGCGTTCCTAAATACAAACGTTTTCTAACATTTTCTCATTACATTTTCTCCATTACCCAAATTTTCGAAAATATAGACAGATAAGTAAATATATATCAGCTTAAAGTAACAAGGATGCATCATTTACTCATATTTTGTCGGAATATCAAGTGCAAAATAGCAACTTAACAAACTGCAGCACCAATATTACAAAAGCTTCACTCCAATAATCTAACTAAATATTGGCAATGTCATGAACATAGTTTGATAAAGCACACTACATTAGAATCACACGGCATAAATAAAATAAAAACCACGATAATAGTCTACCTCAACAATATTACAAAAGCTTCACTCCAATAATCTAATTAAATATCTAAACTACAACTACAATAAGAACAAACAATGACAACATCCACAGCATTCGCACATCATGAAAATATGTTGTCAGCTTTGCTCGGGACGTCCATACTTGAACAAAAATGTCGCATAAAACAAACTTTCCCCAAATTGAACGAACCGATCAATGAAGATGTCATACTTCTAGGACAATGAGTTTTAGAACTGTTGAAACATGAACTTCCCAAGTCTGTGATAGCTGCGAGAATGAAAATACTTGAAGCATTACAGTAGATAAGGAAATAACTTCATAATTATTTGCATTTCTAGAAATTTATTGAATAAGTATAAGCTTAAGAAGCATATAGCCAAATTAAAGAGTTGCTTATACTCATTCCATATTATCTCTTGATTGTCAGCAAGGCTCTTTGTCCTATACATGATTACAAACTAATACTAAAGTTACAATTTCAATGATTCAACAAAAAGACAAGAAAATAAATATTAATTTCTAAAAAAAAAATAAAAATATTTATTGCTTTATATGTTCCTAACACACACTAACAATGTAGCCACAACTATTTGGAAAAGAATTTGCATTTCTTCTAGTTTAATTGCAATGAATTAAAGCAGCAAATGCAACAAATGAGCATATTCAACTTATGTACTCAATATAATCCGCCAAACTACAAACAAAATACTAACATTTATTTTTTTAGAAAGCTTAATAATTTAGCTTCATTGACCGGTATTACTTAATTTTTTTCTACTTAAATTCCACAAAACTGTTTAGATAATCTCTAACATTCAACATTTCATCTTCACATTCATAGAATATCCATTTTACATCCATGGACATGCCTAAATAAGATACAAAATAACGTCTTATTGTAAATTGCTGGTAAAAATTTTGAGGATGAATGGAGAGAAGACGAAGTTGGGAACACATCAAATCTGTAAATCGAAGGTTAAACCATTATTATATGGAAAAGATTTCATACAAATCAAAAAACAAAAAATATCCAAATTTTAAAGAAATTACCGAATCGAATGGGAGAACGGGAAGAACGACGGATGGACGAGCCGTGCTGAAGTTGGGCGAAATAATATCGACGGCGAAAAGAGTTCCTGGCGGCGGCGACGTTGTGGCGACGCAAACGATATCAAAGAAGATGAAGTATATAGACTTCAACATAGGCGGATCTACATGGGGGCTAGGGGGGCAACTGACCTAGTCCTAAAATATATGTAATTTTTAGTGTAAAAAATAGTAAAATTATATATCTGTTTGTTAATTTATATTTTTAACCTTTTATTAAGTTTATTTTTTTATAGTAAAAAATATTGACTTTTATGTAGTTTTGTTAAAAAAAAAATTCAAAATATTTAAGTTTTTTCAATTTTTTTTCTTGCCCGATGTGCTATGAATTAAAAAAAAAAAAACATCATTGAATCAATAAAAAAAAATGATATTTTTGCCCCCAAATTTTTGCTGTTGATTCCAGCACTGGACTTCAACACAATGACAAAATAAATAGAACTATTTTTTATAAATAAAAAATTAAAAAAAAAAAGTCATAAAGTTAAAAGCAATACATACTTAAAAAAAAAAAAAAAAATACCACATCCAACACAGATTGAACACAATTGTAAAAAAAAAAAAAATTATTTTGCTAACTATCCAAAACCATTTTTGCAAAATATTAACATATATTTAAGATTTGCGATTCAAATATATAATAAAGGCACACTTTATAAAGTGAGAAAAAATTACAGAATTAAATAATTTGGTAAATAAGAAGTATTAAATTATCCTTATTCAATTTTGACCATTCATTTACACTCATGCCTCTGTCAACCAATTATCTATATGTATGTCGGATGCTGAATAACCGTATCACCTAAAGGATCGAACTATTTGAGGAACACAACCATTGGAGTCTCCCACAATGTAATCCAACCTAATTAATAATATCTTAATTAACTTTAAAAATTATACTCATAAACATATAATAACCCCAAATATGCAATATTGGTCAAAATTCAAAAAATCCCAAATATATATATATGGATTAGAAATGAAGGAGAAATGGTTGAGTTCACTCGCATGCTTAGAATTCAAACAAACACATCCACAAATGCAAATGCAAATGCAAATGCAAAACAAGCTATAGAACAACCCGTAAGAATGAAAGAAAGTAGCCTTGTCTGTCAGTTTAGCCCATAATATAATTCAATTACTTGAAAACATAAACAAACAACACACATATAGTTTAATTTCAATAAATGAATTAATTACATAAAATTATATATGAACATAATAATAATAATAATTATAGAGGACGGATGTTGCGGAGATCGACGACGACGACGGCGATGTTATCGTCGCAGTTCCTGGCGACGGCAAGGCGCATGAGAAGCGCGGCGGCGCGTGCGGCCACGGACGCAGAGGTGGTCCCCGGCGGCGGAGTGATCTCATCTCGGGCGGGCGGCATGAGGAAGCAGCTGCTCACCACGCGGATCACCATGCCCACCGGCATCACGTCCCAGAGGCCGTCCGTCGCAATGATCACAAACTCGTCCTCCCTGTCCCGCCGGAGCAACCTCACCTCCGGTTCCGATATCACGTACGGCTTCAGGTACCAGTCCCCTGTATGTATGTATATATATAATTCAACTCCCCCAATTATAATGTAATATATATAATTGCTTTACCGATTGCTCGCGACGTTGACAGGACCCCTTGGACGCGAGCTGTGTCGGTTTCGATAATCAACCCTCCCGCGGCTTCGATTCTCTCCCTCTCATCCTGCCTGTCCGGCTGCAATGCAATTTTAATATATTACATAATAAAGAAATGAAAAAAGAAGAAATAATTAACTGAAATTAAGTGCAGTTACAAGGCAGACCCGGTTCAGAATTAAGACACGTGTGGCGGCGCAACCATAATAAATACTAAAACAAATTGAATTTCAGTGTGAGACAGTCGACGGTTACGTACCTTATGGTCGTGGGTGAGCGGGATTATTCTCCCGGTGCGGCAGAGGATGGCGCGTGAGTCGCCGCAGTGGGCGGCGACTATATGCTCCGCCGTCAGAACCACAGCCACCGCCGTCGTCCCCGAGAAGAGCAACTCCGTCCGGTCGCAGTCGCAGCCGGCGAAGGACCCGCACCGGCAGGAGGTTGTCGCCATCACTTCGATCCTCCTGAAGCACCGGTGGAAGATGCGTGTCCATGCCTCCTGGAGAAGCCACGACGGGGCTGCTCCGATCTCGTCGCGTCTGCCGGCTTCCCGGTCCATCTCTTCCCGGAGGATCTCATGCATCCTCGATTTGCACATATTGGCGCACTGATCGTATACGAAACTTTGGATTAATTAACGATATGATCCACTTAAATACGGAGATTGAGATTTATATATTTCAGATCTGAACAACTAAACTCACGTGAGATCCTCCATGGCCATCGAAAACGCCGACGTAGTGCACCGGCTTGAATCTGGCGATTGCCGGCGAGCAAAGACGCTTCCGGATGCTGACGGCGTCTTCCATCACTCCGGCGCTCCCTATCAACGCCATCGCGGCGGAGCGGAACAGTTCCGGGGGCGGAACCCTAGGTGGGGCGGACGAGCTGCTAGGACCACCGAAAACCCTAGATGGGGCATTCGGCGGCGGAAATCTGGCTTCGCCGCTCCGGACAATACGCCCCACAACGACGACCCCATCGTCGTGGTCCTCCCCGCCAGCGGCGCCGGGCTGCCTCGATGGACCCGCCCCCGAGTCGTCGTCGGCGACGGATCTGATATCCGGGGTCGATGGCAGGCCGCCGCGAGAGCTAGAAGCAGCGCGTGGTGCCCCACCCGGGCCGGAGACGTCGTCGAGGTGCCCAGAGAAAGTCATCGGATCTCTGGAGAGGTTTCCGATGGCGCCGAGAACCCTCTGGCGTCTCCTCAATCGGCGCCTCTCTCCGGTTTCCGGAGATACGGGCGGCCTGCGGCTGCCACTTCCGCTACCACTGCCGCTTGCTTGACGTCTGTCCGCCATTTCTGTAAGATCTGAGAAAGCTGTGAGAGGTGGATGCAAACCCTAGGTAGGGCGGCCCCCAATTTATAGCCCCGGAGCGCAACCGCCAAAGTGCAAACAAACAAAAGCCCCACCACACGACCCATGTGAATTACAGTGCTCGTTGCTGAAGCCATCGATGGAGCCAGCTCTGATGAAACTTCACCCACTCCATTCATCGCTCTCGCGCGACACGTGTCCATCAAGATTCTCGTAGAAGCTCGAAACGGTACGCGACCGCATGGTTCGAGCCGCGGACGTCAAAAGGCTCGATTGCATGGACTTAATGGTGACCAGTCAGTCGTCGTGCCAGTGCAGTGCAGTGAGACTACTCACTCCGTGACGTGGTTTTATGACACGTGGGATCGGATCAGAAAAATGGACTATTTGATCATTTATGGATATGATATAATCACAGGTCCCCGCGCGATACCTGGACCTGGTGGTCGGAGTTCATTTTCCGGTGGGGATGGGAGGCGCGTGGGGCAGTGGGTTGCCGGCGTGAATTCAGGGCGTATACAGGCACTTTCGTGAGTGAATGATGACAACAACTACTACTGCTACTTTAATTCATTGTATCGAATATATATATCCATCACTATTTGTATGTAGAAATACATAAGTATGGCAGCGGTTCTTTATATCCACCATGCTTCATCTCATTACCCATAGCCATAGAGAACCCTTGAAGCATTGGTTCACAGAAAAATACAAGTTTTGTTCACTCAGGGTGATGACACTTTAAAACTCAAAGCATAATTAAGTGCAAGTAGGACGAAAATAAATGATGTTTCTAGAAGCCTGACATGAGCATCCTATCTTTAGGGACATCTAAATATCGCACATTACGGCGAGAACTATAAGCGAGAGTTTGCAATAATCCGATCAAAAAAAGAGAAGGTTTGCAATAAAGGCAAAAAGAATTAAACAAATTGTGCTTTCTTCCTCGAAAATGTTTATTCTACATGCAAAAAACCAAGTATCACCTTTACAAAACAATGTGTAATTATGAACTTGACGACAAATCCTCCAATTGCATAGCGACAAAACAACCAAACTATTGGATATAATCGGCAGGAACAAGTAGCGACAAATTTCCTCTACTTTTCTTAATGCATGTGGGAAAGTAAGAAACAAATATCACAACTACAAAAAATGTACAATTTTAACTGGACAACAAATCCTCCAATTAATTATATAGCAAAAAAAATCATTGGATACGGCCTTTAAGATAAGCTACCGTTAAACTTCCTCAATATATTGTATTCCATGTGGGAATGTAAGAAACAAAGATCACAACTATGAAAAGATATGCAATTACGAACTTGATGACAAATTCTGCATTTATATAACAAAAAAAAAAAAAGTCAAATCATCAAACAACGCTTTTTAGCTTTCTTTAGGATTTGTCCCAAACTGTTTGGCTGATTCCCACGGTTAAGAGCAGCTATCGACAAACGTACTCAATATTTTCATTCGATGTGGGAAAGTGAGAAATAAATATCACAAAAAAAAGATCAATTATTGACTTGGCGACAAATTTTTCAGTTATATAGGATCAAACAATCAAACTATTGGATATGACCGTTTAAAACAATTACCAAAAAACTATGTCGATATTTTTTTTTTTCTACGTGGAAATGTAAGAAATTAAGGTAAAAACTATAAAAAGATGTCCAATTATGAACTTGGTGACAAATCCTGCAATTATATAGCCAAAAAAACAATCAGATTATTAATACTACAACTAAGAGCAACTATAGATAAACTTCCTCAATGTTTTTCCATTCAAAATGAAGAAGTGAATAAAGATCACAACGAAAAAAGATCCATTATTGACTTGGCGACAAATTTTCCAATTAAAAACAAACAATCAAACTATTGGATATGGTCGTTAAAAATAATTACCAACAATCTTCCTCAATATTTTTTTTGCCACGTGGGAATGTAAGAAATAAAGATAAAATTATAAAAAATATCTACAATTGAAGTTGGCGACAAATCCTGCAATTATATAGCCAAAAATATAGTTAGATTATTAATACGACAGTTAAGAGTAACTACTGACAAACTTTCTCAATGTTTTTCCATTCAACGTGGAGAAATTAAAAATAAAGATCACAACAAAAAAGATTAATTATTCACTTGGTAACAAATTTTCGAATTAGAGAAACTAACAGTCAAACTATTGGATATGACCGCTAAGAATAATAATCAATAAACTTTCTCAATATTTTTTTTCCATGTAGGAATGTAAGAAATAAAGATAAAAACTATAAAAATATGTACAATTATGAATTTGGCGACAAATCCAACAGCTATATAGCTAAAAAAAAGTCAGATTATTGACTTCCTCAATATCTTTCCATTCAACATGGAGAAATGAGAAATAAAGATCACAACGGGAAAAGATCAATTATTGACTTAGCGACAAATTCTAATGATATAGAAACAAACAATCAAAGTATTGGATATGACGGTTAAAAACAATTACTAAAAACTTTCTAAATATTCTTTTCCACATGGAAATGTGATAAACAAAGATCATAGCTACAAAAGGATGCACAATTTTGAACTTGGCAAAAAACCATCCAATTATAAGTTATAAACAATAAAATTATTAGACAATTGTTAAGAACAATTATTGACAAACATCTTTGATTTTGAATCCACGTGGGAAATGATATCACAATTACAATATGCAATAATGAACTTTGCGACAAATTCTCCAAATTTTCAGCATTAAACCAACAAGAGCAACCACCAACAAATAATAGTAGTTTAGCCTTTTGAAGATGTTATCATTTACATCATTTTTAAAAATAAATGAAAATCAAATCTTTCAACAGTTTTGTTTATAATCCTTTACATCATTATTGAAAATCAAGCAAACCTAAATCTTTTGACTCCCATTGCATGCCTAATTACTTTTTCATATGCAACCATACCCGTGCTTTTATGTTGTACTGTTAATTACCAGCAAATATGTTACTCCCTCCGTCCCATGTAATATGGGTGTATTACTGTAGACACATGAATTTAGGTAAAGTATAATTAGTAAGTAATTAAAAAATGTATTAGTAAAGATAATTGTTATTTAGTAAAAATAATTATAGATTAAAATTAAGATAAGTAAATAGTTTAATTAAAATTAAGATAATTATAAAATTTAAAATTTAAAATGCGATTAAAGTGCATAATTATATTTCCAAAAATAGAAAGGACAACATATGTGGGACGAACGAAAATGGAAAATAGGAACAAATTACGAGGAACGAAGGGAGTATAACTCAGTGGTTGAACTAATATAAAAGTATAGGAGCAAATTTCTTAAAAATTTAAAATTTTTTTCTTCGTAAGATAATGCATGTATTTTATTTTTATTTTATTACAAAATAATAAATTATAACAGCATTAATATTATATACTCTGGCTATATATATTATTAATATTTGAATATATATATAATGGAATAAAAAATAATATAATTTTTCATTAAAAAAAAAAAAATCAACGCTTGATGTTATATATAACTCAATAAAATAAGAGTGAGAGTGTAGCCTACCTTTGCCTCTTTGCTACCTCCCCATTGCCAAAATTAACTATTCCTAAACAATAGATTTAGTATGTTTTTATTTTTAAATTATGCTGTCAATAACGAGCACATATGCTATTACTAACAACCCCTAAACGAAAAATTCAACCCAATACTAACATCCACCATTATATATATTTTTTTTCATCTACTCAATCTCTAATTATATCAACTCTCCAACTATTATAAATGCCTCGTTAAATCCTTTTTAACATTGAATCAGTAGATCTTTAAAGTTATTTAATTCCACTGTTTTAAACATTGAGAAGCTTCGATGCATGCATCTTCAGATCTAGAGAATCAAACTATTTCCAAATTAGACTACAGACAAAGCAAACTCGCCATGGTTATTGTTAGTTATGTTGCCTAAACTGAAATAATAGTGCAATGAAAATAAATAAACTGCAGTAAAGTGTAAATCGAAAAAAAGAATGTTCTTCTAGTCTGAGATTTATAATTGAACAGGGAACATATATTATAGAAAGTTCACAAATAAATGGTAGTATTTACATATATATTAATAATTGTTTTTCGTGGTTGCAAGACTCAAATGAATTTTTTAATATCTATTTATTAATCAAAAAATACCTTAGATTGTTAGCGATAATCACAAGTCAACAATATGTATTTATATATATGTCCACTTTTTCCTCGCTCATCTTCCCACTATCACCTTTCTTCGAGGGATTGCACATTTTCAAAATACAATATCCTGTCTGTTTTACAATTTATAAACATACTAAAATTTCATGTGATCATATTTTTATTATTTATGGTACGTAGACTTTTCCCTCATTTTGTTTTTGTTTTTTTTTTTATATATATAATCTTAGTAGTTATAGTTCACAAGTGTCATTTTAACGAGTTCATGTTGGTGATGACATGTGGACAATGTAATGACGCAATATGTACAATGCGTTGTGGTGCATTTCCAGCAGATATATTATGCATTAACAAAATTAGTGTACATATTATGGTTGTGTTTGTTTCCTGAGATTATTGGAAAGAAATTTTATATGTGAAATATAAAAAATCGTATAAAAATTAATCAATATGTTTAATGCATTAATTTTTTTGAAAAGATACGGGTGTGTTTGTTTGAGGGATTTGTTTGGATTTTCACTATTCATCCTAATTTTTTTTTCACCTCCCAAAACATCAAATTAAACACTTATTTTTTATTTTTTATATTATACTAAAAATCAATTTTACATTCAAAACATCACATCAACACCTATTTATATCACATCATACAACTATTCAAATTCAAAATTTTTACTATTCAAATTTCAACTCAAAATCCAAACCCTCAAACAAACCCTGTATTGTTATGGTGGCTCGTAACTAATCCAACGCACAAAATATGGATTCAATTGTTATGAAATGTGGAGTTTCTAATACTTGAATGATTACCACTGCCTTCATTTTTCTCCGTAAGTTTTGGAGTCTAGAATAATCATAATTACAACTAATTTTATATGTTTCTAGTTTCCAATAAAATATTGTCAGAGGAGGGTGTGTTTGGTTGGGTGATTTTAGTAAAAACTTTCTTATTTACTA